AAAAACAATAAAACGAGAATTGGCACGTCTGGCGAAACAGTTGACTGCCGTCAATTCAACCGGCTGACTTGCCAGGACGTGCATCTACTATCGCGCGTTATATGCACGAATTATCGTCATACGTCTCCCCGGACAATGCGGCTGTGGCCGTGTCACTGACATACTGTGACGCTAAAAGCGACTTAGAGCTACCGTAAATCGGACACGCATTCTAAACACGATGCCTCGTATCGGGAGTTTGAGTTTCATCGCGTTAAGCTAATTAGATTGGAGGACGCGCGCGCTTGCGCGCGCACGGATCGATCTCGGAGCTTGTCTCGTCTCCGAAACAATTTCTCAGATGAATCAATTTCGTAAACAGGTAAGTAACAGGTGCTGCCTTTCGTGCGAGCCGGATTCGATTAACTCTCCGGGATGAATCCACCTCCAGCGCGCGGAAGTAGACGAATTTACGACTCAAATTCATCGTTTGACCGTCACGCGCGCGAATTCGACACGATGAAACGCATCCTGATGCCGGGTGACGGTGACGGCGATCGCGTGAATAAATCTTTCCTTGGCACCCTTTCGATCCGAGCGCTGACAAGTAAGATATCCCTTCTTCTGCAGTTCCTCGCACGCCTGCAATTGCATTATCGCAATTGCCGTTATCGCGAGTGATATAAAAACCATGGCACAATTATAGTCGACATTCGAGATCATGCGGCCTGAAAAGGGAAAGACGCGAGAAAAGATTCCACACACACACACACACACACACACACACACATACACATGGAGAAAAAATTTCCAGTTGGATGAAACCGATTTTCCGGTTGAACATGAACGACTCGAAAATTCTGATTGAAAATATCAGAATTCTATTTAATCTAAAGTTTAATCAGAAGTCTCAACAATTTAGACGAAATTCTGATCACTTCAACCGGAACTTTTTATTATTATTCACGTTTCATCAGAGGATTGTTTTATTCAAACTAACATGATAATTCCGCAGCGTGTCTTCCAGCTACATCAGACAAATACTATAGTATTTGTTGTTCATTAATGAAGAGTGATAATTGAATCGGGTACCGAGTTCCGTTCTGGTTCACGAATGGTGCGATTCATCATACTCGGATTAATGGTTTTCGGGGATCGGATCAAGGCCCAGAGAAAGATTACGTTCTTGAAATAGCATCGTATTATCCGACATTCCAGCATTATCAAAAGTGCAAGCACCGAATGGATACTATATTGCGTATGACGTGTATCTACGAAAATTAAATACGCGTGTTGCCCCTCGTCGGCTCATGCATTTACATATCAATCGAGTATAAAGAGAAAGATATACACGCCGATCTAGTAAAATTTATTGACTTGCTTCTATTATGTTTCTTTATTTATATATATTTTTATATCTATTATACTAGGTGTGCAACTAAGTTTCCGGGTTTTTTAATCAATGAAAAATGGAAAATTTCAAGAGAAATACGAAAAATGATTTATTCAAAGTATCGTCCCTCGCTAGCTACACATTTTTGCCATCTCCCTGGCAATACATGAATACCACGACGATAAAACGACGCGTCTTTGGACCGAAACCATTCATCCAACCAATTTTGCCCTTCTTCGAAATTGGCCCAGTGTTGCCCAGCCAAGCCATGTGCCATCGACCGGAACAAGTGATAATCGGAAGGGGCCAGGTCTGGCGAATACGGCGGGTGCGGTAGCAGATCCCGTTTCAGCGTTTTGATGGTGTCCTGGACGATGGAAGTGCGATGGCACGGAGCGTTGTCGTGCTGCAATATCACTCGTTCGTATTTCGTGTCCCATTCTGGCCGTTTTTCGAGCAATGCATGGTTCAAATTGGTCAGTTGTTGTCGGTAGCGATGCCCATTGACAGTTTCGCCCGGCTTCTTTTCAGCAGCTCATAGTACACGATTCCTTTCTGGTCCCACTAAACGCAGAGCATTGTCTTCTTTCCGAAGCGATTTGGCCGTGCCGTCGCTGTTGATGCTTCGTCAGGTGAAAGCCACGATTTTTTGCGTTTGGGATTCTCGAAATATATATCCACTTCTCATCGCCAGTAGCAATTCGATGCAGGAAACTCTTTCTTTCATGCCGCAAAAGCAAAATTTCGAAAGTGGCTCTTCGATTTTCCATCTGTCTCTCAGTCAACTCATGCGGCACCCATTTTCCTTCCTTTTGAATTTTTCCTATGGCATGTAAACGTTTGGAAGTACCTTGGCGAGTCATGTTTAATGCCTGCGCAAGTTGGTTCTTGTGTTTGCGCATCATCTTCATCCAATAACGCTTGCAGATCGGCGTCCTCAATTGTTTTTGGTCTTCCGGAGCGCTCTTTGTCCTCAGTGTCGAAATCGCCACTTCTGAAGCCACTTTAAACCAATCTTCACAGGTAGTTTTCGATGGTGCATATTCGCCGTAGGCCTCCTCAAGCAAACGACGTGCTTCAGCTGCACTTTTTTTCAAGTTAAAGCAGAAAAGCAAAGCTTCCCGCAAATGCTGTTTATCTGGCACAAAACTCGACATCTTCGTTGTTAGAAGAAATATTTTTGCGTTGCGATATATGTTGGTATTAAGACTGGTTATTGTTAACAGATGTCCAAGCTATAAAAAAAACACAACTTCAGACATGTATGTCGACTACATGTGTCGTTAGCGCCATCCATATGTGAAACCCGGAAACTTAGTTGCGCACCTAGTATATAATGCATATTTTATTATATTTTGTTATCTTTATTTATTTATATTCACTTAACTTCTTCTTTACAAGGGAAAGGCAAAATTACATGTAAAACTGTATTAATTATTCCATATATATAGCAGCGTTGTCAAAATTACAATTGTCTTGATTCGATTGGATCGCGAAGAAAACGATAAATTTGTATCCGTAGGATTTCGGTAAACATGGTTTCAAAGCGTCGCTCGAATTGATCGCCGCCGTGTAAAATGTAACGCATGCACGTGTAGCACTTCTGAGCAAACCGTCCCGGTGTATCGGACGAATCAGCACGATAAAACTGCAGTGACGCATTTAATAGAGAGACGTACATTTTGTAAAGTAATATTACGAAAGGGAAAAGAAAGCACATCCGCATCCACGAATAATACGAATAATCAAAGCTCGAGCGATGTGTGCAAGTTTGCGATGTCGATTAGTCGTTACATCGACTTGGTTTTACGTAAAACATTGTTGTACGTAAAAGATAACCGGGGCTGCCTGACTTGCACCTTTAGCTGATCACGATGTTAAAATTAATAACAAAAGCGAGGCGCGTTGCATCTAAAATCGCCGGGTTATGTACACACATTAATCGAGTGCAACATGGCCATGTTGATGACAAATTCTCTACAGTATTTTTTCCAGTTGCACGTATTTGTCGTTCACTAATGATAGTGATAATTGAAGTCGAGTTCCGTTCTGGTTCAAAACACAAATGGTACGATTCATTATGCGATTAATGTTTTCGGGGATCGAATCAAGGCCCGAGGAAAGATTATGTTCCTTGAATAGCATCCAATTATCCGGCTTCCCGGATTATCAAAAGTGCAAGCATGCACCGTGTACATGTTGCATTGCGTATGATACATTGCGTATCTACGAAAATTAAATACTACCGTTCGCCGATTCGCATGTCTGGATATTAATAGAGTATAAGAGACACATGTCCACTAAAACTGATCTACTTTTATTATATTTCTTTATTATATCTTCTCATACTTATCATATATATATTATGTTTTATTATATTTGCTTACTCCATTTTTTGCAACGGAAAGACAAAATTTCAAATAAAAGTGTATTAAAAAAAAACATATCGATACGTTGACGCAGAGAATATTATTAACGATACAACCAACAGTGGAATAAGGAAGAAATTTCTGTAATCGTCTGTTTACGTTTCCACGCTGGTGATATTGTTGTCGAGACTTTTCGGTTGCTACGAGGAAGAATTTTATACTGATAATTTAAAAAATTAATTTGATACGGAGTAGTGTGTATGCCGACGCGCGCATTGTGAAAAATATTTTTCTCCGTCAAGAGGTAATCCAAGCATTCGCGACAACGTAGCCGGTTTTAATTGGCGCGCCAGAGGAGAAATCGCGTGGCAACGATCGTTTTGTGCCCCAAAAGTTTATCGTCGGACGTCACAATGAGTCTCACTTTGATTAAGGGGGAAAAACTACGCATCATCGCACATAATAATTTAATGCAACGCAGATTGCTCGCCGCATAAGACGCACATTGTCAAATTTATTGCGCACCATTTATTATTCAATAAATCCAAACCGACGAATATACGTTCATAAGTTCGTATATTCGTCGAATGAAAATTTATAAATTATCATAGAATTATCCGCGTTCTGCGGTTGATTGAGAATCCGCGGTAATTGAGAATTAAAATCAACGTCTTTCTGCGTCTTACGACAAAAATTGACAGTCGATTTACGTCGTCAAGGCGAATTCTTTGATTTTGCTTATTCCCGCAGCTCGATTAGAAAGACACATACATTAAAGGAGGAAATAAAACCTTAGTCCTGTTTCATCGAAAAACCATTTATTTCATGGAATAAATATTCTTCTATCTATGCTGCCTACCTAGGAAGTACACATTATACATATAAGTATGCATTTTTCTGCCGTCCTCATCCATATATTGGGAAGATACATAATTCCATTAGTTTTTAATTATCGGTACATTGACAAACAAAGTTTGAGAATGTGAACTGGAAATAAGGAGAAACATCGGGGAGAGTTTGGGGACAAACGCGATCGGGAGAAACGGCGAGAATGGAAGGATAGAGGACAGCTTCGAGGGAAGAGGGAGAAATTACAAAAGGATCGATTTCTTGAGGAGCTTTTCCTTACATCCTAATGATCGCTTTATAAAAATCGCAAAGTTTTGTATATATATATATATATGTATATATATATATATACACATGTATATATATATATATGTATATATTTTTTTCTTATAAACTGTGTGTACGTGTAGTTTTTTTCCTTTACAATCACATAAAGTTCAGGGACGGTGCGCAAGTCGATCGTGTATCGTATATTATTTTACAAACAATAGCTACAGTGTGCACTTGACTCGAAGCCGAGGGAAAAACGTGGGATTGGGTGTTACTCCGACAGCGATTAGATGCGTGTTTCAAGCGTGTTTCCGGATTTTGACGATCGCTATACAGTGAGGGACTGAGAAAACCGATGGAACCTCGACGAGCTCAATTCTCGCACGCAGCGAATCGAAAGGTGACGAGAGAGGAGGGGGGGGCGGGAAGAGATGGGCGCACCCTCTGGGCCGTGAATCGCCTTCCATGCTTCCAGATGAAGCACGTAGGCTTCAGGAACTCATCGAAGTTACATCGGTCTCAATCGCTATATATAACTGGAACTGTGTTCAAGCGTCGGGGGATACGTCTATACGTGTGTTATGGCACTGACCTTCTCCGTCGTCGTGACATAATTAATAGGAGCGGGTCAGGAGCGCGGCTCTCTACGGAAACCAATGAAACTCGAGCCTGTCGGACGAACACCTGTCGGCAGGGATAATTTCGCCCGGGGAGATGTCCAGTTTAATTTTTCTTCCTTTTAATCTATACGTATCGCGCGGAGTGAAGAAGGTACACATGTGAGAAGCCAAAGGCGAAACCAAAAAGGGCCGTCCGTCTCCGGCGTGACAATCATGCGCGCGCATCTCCCGACGTGTTTCGAGTATAACTATTAATACCATGAGTTATTAAGAAAGCTACGAAAACCGAGCGCGTCTTCCTTGCCCGTTGCGCGCGTTATGTTCACCGGTTGTCCAGAAAGAAACGCTCAATACTGGTCCCGCGATCGCACGTTAACCGACCGCGGGAACACGAATGAAATTTGCAATTGCCACGATATGTACGTATGAAAAAAGAGACGGAAAGAAAAAGAACGATCCCGAGTGCGCGATTGGACGTTTTCGCGTCGGGCCGTGCATATAGCCGCAACTCGCACACGTTTGTTAGAAAAAGTTAGGGGTTACAGGGTTTTCCGCCGATATACGAGTAACATCCTCGTTGGGTCCCTTTCGGGGCCCAGGGATCTTCAGCAAAGCGACGTCACACTTGCCTGTTACGACATAATTATTTACACAACTCGACACACACACACACACACACTCTCTCTCTCTCTCTCTCTCTCTCTCTCTCTCTCTCGCATTCTCACAATTCGCTAAAAAACGGTCAGAATGATAGAAATATATTTATAATATAGTAGAAAGACTGGGGGCGGGGAAGAGGAAAAGGGGGTGGGAGAGGGGTAAGAGGAGGAAAAAACATCAGAAAAAAGAAAAAAACAACGATTTTTTGTTTACTGTACACCGAGATCTTTTGGCCGACACGTTTCCACGATCCGATCGTCGGAGCCCTCCGTCGGGTGACGACATGCGTCTTGCATGTCCGACAAAACGAGAAGAGACCGAGACGAGATGGAGCCAAGGAGCTGCACACTTCTCTCGGTTACAACGTCGGCCGTGCTGTGAACGACCGGACGCGGTAAACGTTACCCTCGAAGTCTCGCGAGCCGGGGCACGACGACGAACAGTTTCAACAAGGTTTTGTACTTGCTCATCGCGAAAGCACGCCGGGCTTCTTGCGAGGTTGTAACGCTCGTGGTAAGCCGTAAACGTTACAACTATGCCCCGGTCGGTCGGTCGTGTTCCCCCGGCACCGGGGAGCGAGATACTGACCTTCGGGAGCGACCCGACGAGCCGCGAGGTCGTCGTCAACTCCGTCCATCGTGGATCGGGTGCAAACGTATCGGCATCTTAAAAATAATACCATGACTCTAGGAACTATCCGCCTTGCCGTGGATTGTACGGACCACCGTCGAGATGCCATTCACTAACGACGCGAGCGAGTCCTTTTCTCGTTCCTTCGTTCACTCCTATCTGGACTCCCTCGGCAGCCAGCACATACGCAGTCTTGGAGGATTCACTGGCGACTCATCAGCGGAGCGTCTAGCCACCCGCTCGCACTCTCTCTCTCTCTCTCTCCCTCTCTCTCTCTCTCTCTCTCTCTCTCTCTCTCTTTCTCTCTCTCCCTCTGGAATTCACTCCGTTATGGTTGGTGCTCCGAAGAGGTCCGCGTCACCCAACACTACTCTCCGTTTCGACTCTTTCTCCGAACAAGGCACTTTCAGTCTATCGGATGAGGAATCGCCGAGGACACGGCGACGACGATTGACAGGGACAACGACCAGCACGAACGTCGGGATTCGAGGTCCGAGCGGCGGGAGATAATCATCGCGGGACGACACTCTCGGCCCCGTCGTCCCCGTCGCGTTCGTTCTCTCGGGCCTCTCGAAGGTGGACTATGAGCAGCCGCAACGCTCGACGACCATGCCTGGCAACCGCGAGAATACGATCTGATACTCGTTGTCAAAGTACAGCATCGTGATTTCCGACAGCTTTCTGGGTGCGCAGCACGGTCCGGTGTTGTTCGGCGGTTCCGCCAAGCCGACGATGTGCGTAACCGGGTAGGCCGGCAGAAAGGCCATCGGACAGTCGCCCGAGCAGTAATTGGCATCGTATCTGCGACACAAAAATTTCGGAGGCCGATCGTTAGTGCGTGAGCTTCGCCGACTATCTGCGCTGATGACCGATCCCGGTCGAGGTTGATCTCTCTCTCTCTCTCTCTCTCTCTCTCTCTCTCTCTCTCTCTCTAATCGCTCGCAAAAAGACCGATCGTGCGAACGAAAATTCTGTCGCAGCGACCGCGTGCGTCAAATTATAGCCGGAAACGTCTCTCCGCTCGAGACGGCCCGTTAGCGTCGGCGCGACATCGACAGCCGCGAAAATAACAATCGGAGCAACACGGCACGAAGCTTACATGCACGCGGAAAAGTATTCTGCTCGAAATGTATCTATACGAGCGTCGTTATCGGCCCCAACGGGACAATATTTACAAGCAGAACGTGCGCAGTTTAGCATCGTTGACGTAGAGCGGCCAGCTTCTACGTGCCGACGAGAACGCCACGTTTGCCCCGTTAAGACCGCGTTTCGCTCAAACATTTTCGCGCGTCGGGAAAATCTTGGAGCGAGTACGTGCTCAACCGTCCGTGCATTAATCGCCTCGCGAGCAATAATACGCGCTCGCGGAAAGACGCACGTCCCGAGTATTTTGCTAAGCCGCTGCGAAACGCAACTTAAACCGCGCACGCGATAAACAATTTTCCAACAACAGCGTTCGCGTGAAACATCTCGTCCAACCGGCAAACACCGCTCGGAAAATCGTAAACCGCGCTCCTTGTACCGAGCGAACGGACCGGATCGCACGTATGAATTTAGCCCGAGACATGCGCAGTGAACACGCAGTGGGCCGACGATTGGCGGAATGAACTTGGGAAGAAAAGCACGAGCGGTCGTTTTTCCGCGGTCCGAAAATTCCCTCATCGAGAGAACGGACAAAGAGACGAAGAAGAAAGAGAGGCGAAAGAAAGAAAGAAAGAAAGAAAGAAACACTCACTTCTTGGGTGCGATTATCCAGTCCCAGCCGAACTTCTCAAAGTCTACCGTCAGCTTGTACCGGCAACACCTGGTCTCCTGGCTGCTCTCGTCGCAGTTGAGTCCCACGTTCCGCTTGATCCTGGAGCCTCTTCGCGAGTCGAGCTCCTGCGTCTGCACCTCGAGATACGGCGCGTACTCCGCTCCGGGATTAGTCTCGACTAGTCGGGAGTTCCTGCGGTGAGCGCCGTCCGGACCGATGATCTTCAACGCCACCCCCAGATTGTCCCTGGGATGCTTGAACCACTCAGCCACCATTCGTCTGAGCTCGATCGTCACCCAAGTACCCCGGCGGCCAATCGGCCGAGGGTGCTTCGTCGTCAAGGCTGGCCCCAGCTGCGGCTGACCCGACTCGCCCGCGCCGCGAAGAATCCTCTGCAGCGTGATCGTTACCGCTTCCTGGTTCTTTGTGTTCTCCAAGCCCATCGGCTCGCCGAGCTCCCCGCCGTCCTGATTTGTGCCCCATATCCACAGGGATAATTCTGCCCGGGTGACACGATGCTGCACCACCTTGTCGGAGAACTTGAAATACAGCACGTCTAGGTTGCCGCTCTTCCAGTGCCTTAGCCTTTGATCTGGAAGCAGCAAGAGTTCACCATTGTAGGCAATGTCGCTGATAAAGACCGCTTTAACAGTTCCATCGGTTGATGCACTTCTCTGCGTGTTAGTAATTCTATCTCGAAAAATATATGTTATCTTATTGTCGCCTATTTTGCGCGATGTCAATTGCGCACCTCGATTTGCTTATCAGCGAGTCTTGTTGCTTATACGAACGATTACCGTCATGGTAAAAGTTACGTACCACGAAAGCAAAGAGCGATGAAGTATAAAACAATACATGACGCTAACACCACGATGAAAGACTGAATGGGAAATTGATGAATAAATAACGAAACGATGCTTCCGAGCGCTTCTCGCCGGCTAAAGCCACGTGACCTCGGGATCTCGAGAATAACACGCGTATGCACAAAATTGATGAGCGATCGCAACAAGGGTAGACGAAGCGGGAGAGACGTCGCCCATGATTTCCGAACTTTTCGGATTCAATCAATTCGGAATCAAAAGTATTATTTTTTGCATTGGACTCGATCGAATTGTACAGTACAAATAATACGCATTGTTATTTCGCACATGTAATCATGCTAGGATTATTTTTTTAATTTTTAGTGGTCTAAAAAAATATACAGTTTCGAGCCTTCCTATTGTTTATATGTTTTCATACTTCCACGTGTGTATGACTAACTAGAAAATTTATATTTTTCAATTCCAGATCTGGTCAACGTCCGGGGTGCAGTTTCTAAAAAATGCAATTTCTGTGGATGCCAGAAAGTCTGACTCGGGCCGAGCAGGATTCGAGGGTAGGTTTATAAAAATTCCCCATACTCCTCACTAATCAAACACTTTGCAATCGAAACTCTTGAGACATAGTCGTCCAAATGAAAATCGTCAAGTTACAATAATCGCAACTAGAGTTAAAGAGCTGCGGCGAATTGTTTTCTTCGGAATTTATTTATCATTCTATCTAATCGACGACGATTTTATATTTTTTGCTTCAGATGTGTAATAGAGCGTGACCAATCTTGAGGTTCCGGTGTTTCAGTAAGTCCAAACGACACAGAGATTTACGGTGGTGGATTTTATGGGATTTATGTAGTCGCTACATACAAGAAATCAATACGATTTACTTGGTTTGTAGATTTCGGCATGCATACTGAGAGAAAAGAAATATTGGTCTTACTAAAAATTATAAATATTTTCAATACCAGTCATATATTTTCGTTGTTTCAACAAAAAAATAGCATACGTAAAATTATCGTTATTAATGTTACAGTAATATTTACTAAAAGACGGTTTTCCACCTTAATTTATTATACATTATCCCAGTCATAAACACCAAACATTTTTCTCTCTAAGTGGGGTTTTGTTCCTGTGTGTTTGTGCCATCCGTTGAAATGCAATGTTCAAAAAAAAAAAGGATTGCTGTTTTAAATACACTTCATATCATAAATATCTATTTATTGCATTCAATTCGAGATGCAGAGCTATTTGACAGAACTTTTTATGTAATATAATCCCTCAATTACTTCAAGTGATGCGAAAAGTACATCAGAATTGCGCCTCAGAATGGCACATCAGAATTGCGCGGAATTTGTTATTATCTCGCTTGCGATAAATTCAGCAGTCGTCGCGAATATCCGGAGAGAAAATGCGCGGAACTTACATGTTTCGACATATTTCGGAACTCATCGCGTAAATCTCTCGAAATTTTCCACACGCGACGGGTTACAATTTTATGTCTCTCGAAATGCTACATTCAATAGTGTGCATTTATTGTGATTATTGAAAGCTAGAATTTGCGCAAAAAAACCGAATTCTTGTTCCCCAACAAAGTATAATTGTCCGCGAAATGTTTCCTTTTCTTTTTTCCTTTCTCATCGAACACAATGCAGTCTTTTCGACGCGATTTGTTTACCCGCAACTTTCTGTATTTGCCAAGTGACGGATTGTATCGTACTTTCCATTAAATTATCCAAAAAAAAAAAACGGTAGCAATTGTGACTGAGCAACACAGTAAAACGCAGTAAAGTGTAACCGACGACTAGATGCTGCGAAGATCGAATGTTGAGGACTTGGACTTGGCGACAGCTGGACATCGCAGGATATCAACACGTGATAATGAGCGTACAATCAGAACGCTTATTTGTAATGCTTTGGCATCATGTTAAATTATGTAGTGCATGCAGCGTCATATGCAAATCGCATTGATTACCTACGAGAAAAGGTGACGGTGCGAAATTACTTGAACAAATATAAGACTGAGACATTCAGGGCGCACGTTTGGTTGAGCACACGAGTGACCAGGGATGAATCGAGCGAATTGCACGGCAAAGAAAAAGTGTGTGACGTCTGTCTCGCCTCATGGCGAAAGGCAGGAGTCGCAATTGCACAATCGTCCGCAACCGATCTTCGTTCTTGATATACAGCTTCCCAGCGCAGCAGATTATCTCCTTTTTATTTCAATGTACAACTGATCGCGGTTACTTGCGCCGCGCGATAGTAAACGCATCGTCGCGTACACGACACGCGTGTGCCAATAGAATTGTGTCGGAAATTTCCTAATAGGAGATACGTCAATAGCGAACGCGCCGATAAAGCGCGATAAAGTATCGCGTTTTTGCGAGAACGTTCACAACGCGGTTGCATCCTCCTGCCGTATCTTCAAGATCCCGCGAGTCGGCGCAGGACCGCGCGATTACTTGTAAATGAGAAGACGTTTTCACTGGTCAGTATTACATGCGGCTCGATAAAGTATCGCAGTATCTGCTGTAAATACAAGTCTCACTTGGCGACGCGGCGCTCGTTGAAACATCAAGATGCTGCCGCGACGCTTGCAACGCGCCCGACTCCGAATCTCCGAGAGTGCTATCTGCAACACAAGCGCAGTACGCTCCGAAATAAATAAAACACGTAAAAGCACTCGAACATCGCTCGTATCCCGGCGAAGCAAACACACGATATAACGTTTGCAGTGCAAATAGCCGCATTTTTCGCTTCGCACGCCGATAAATCTCTAATCGTATTTTAGGTGCACCGCAGTTCGCTATCTTGCAGAGATAGCGCGGTAGAAAATGAACCGCGATACCCGAGCATATTCTCGCGCTGCCCAGCGGTGCCCAGATACAATGTTGCCTTAGAATTATTGAATGCTGTTCAACGTTTTACGCATTATTTACGCTCCCGTGACCGATTGCGGGACAGTTTGCGAAGCGAGAATGCGCGTGCGCGCGCGTGCAATTGCGCGACAAAATGCATTGCGCAAGGAACGAGGCGACTACGATCGCCGTCGATTGTCGCTTTACATTTACAGAATTATATATTAACCGTCGTATCGTGCGCGCGGAAAAGGACAGAGAAAGAGAGGGAGAGGAGGAGGGAGGAAGTCAAGGATCTAACGCACTCGTCGTCGTCGACGACAATGACGACGATGCATGGATCTGTGTGTCTGTGCGAATAATTATTTCTAATTGGCCGATAACGCCGGGCGAAAGCACGGAGCGATAAAATTGGCGCGTTAGGAAACACTGTTGCAAATTGCGGATACGAAACTAATCGATATATAATGCGCGACTTTCTACGATCCGCCTTATAACGGCGACGTAATGTCGCGGTATCTTGCGCGATTTTCATTTTTGTTTTTACGGATGACGAGAGAGAGAGAGAGGCTTCTTCTTCGTCTTCTCTTGAAAATAAATTTATCGGATATTTCCTCCGGCGATCGCGATACTTTCCCGAACGCTCGAAACGCGACGCATTCTGTGCGTCTTCTGATCCTCCTTTTCGTTTTTCTTCGCTCGTCGCGACTTCATGGCGTCGTAAAGCGCGCTTCACGCACGAGGATCGTAATTTCATTAACGACGTGAAATCTTCGATGTTACGTTAACGCCGGGATATTCCCGGCAAATCGAAAACATTGGCCGATTATCCGTGCCGTCCTTTTAGCTCTAACGACCAGACCGCGGACGCACCTCCGGCATCAACGTCGCCGTGTGAAGCACGGCGACGCTTAAATCGCAGGCATAATCATTGATAACGCAGAAGCTATTTCCGTTCACTCCTCAAGAAAAATCCTCAGAGGTAAAACGCGTACCGCTTTTCCTCGCAGGTGTGAGGGGATTTTACGCGTTTGACGCGTCGCAACTCGCGTCGACACCTCGAGCGTTTGTGTCACGGATTTCCGCGTTGTGTATTACATTATTAATTCGCAAAAAATTCATCTCGTTGCTCGGTCTATCTGTCTCTCTCCCTCCTTCTCTCTCTTTCTCCATCGTGCAGTCCCTTCGATCCCACGTGGGAAGCAAACGAGAGATGAGCCGCAAGATCCAAGATCTCGCGACTCCGCGAAGCTCTCCTGTCATTCTGTGATACCGCAGTACTAATTGGCATCGCTTTGTTCGTCCCGCTGGTTACGTCCCGGTTTACAGCGTAGAATCTATCTCCTCATCCCGTGATGAGCCGTACCGCGAGCACGCCGAAGCCGCGGAACGACGACCGTCGAGGCGAGGCAAAACCTTTGGATACGTACGACGTGGCCGGTTTTCAAAATAAGAGGAGAGATCTCCTCCTCGGCTTAGAAAATCTTCCGCGGCGATACGCCGGTGAGTCGCGCTCGCGCAAAAACGCTTCACAAACGCCCGCGCAGAGCTTCCTCGCGCTGTTCTCGCGATCGTGGGGTGGCACGGGCAGGAGGGGGTCGGCAATAAATCAGGAAGAGAGCTCGGCGAAGTCGTCATCGGGTTTCTTGCCGATCGAGCGAGATGCACACTCACGCACACTCCGCACGCGTGCACGCACGCACGTGCGCGTCCGACATTTACCCCGATGACCGACGTTAAACTCGACCCTCGATATTCGCGAGGAGCGATCGATCGCGGATTGATCGAGCGATCGGCGAGGGGGACCGAGAGAGAGAGAGAGAGAGAGAGAGAGAGAGAGAGAGAGAGAGGGGGGAGAGAGAGAGAGAGAGAGAGAGAGAGAAGGAGAAGAAACACACGCAGAAGCGGCGACAGGCAGGAGG